TTGTTATTCATATCACGTAAAAAAGTGAATAAAATTTGAAAATGTGAATATTATACATGTCATTTAATTAGGGAAAATTGGAGTAGTATAACTATTAATTTTAAATTTAAAATATTGATATTTAGATTAATAAAATATCAACACTTTTTGGAACATATTTTAGTGTCATGTGAAGTATTAAATTTTTTTTCCATAAAATCAGAATATATTGGAAAACACTCGATAAACTGAAAGGAAGTTAGAGTTAAGAGTTTAAGCTCTAAAGAGTAGACTCTTAGTATTATCTAATTACAGAGTATATTGTAATTTAAAGCTTTTGATAATGATTAACAAAAAATTGTAATAACAATATTGTCAATAAAAATGAATCTAGTGTATTTTTCTATAATTTAATATTTTATTACTCTATGGTCTGTTTATTTCTTAGGAGGTGTATTGTATATGGAATAATATTCATTTTAATAGAAGTTCATGGACTTTAAAACTTTTAGTTTTGTTCAACATAGCCTTTTTAAAATCCATGTAAATTTAAGTGTATTTAATTAGAATTTCAAAGAATCATTAGACATTTTACAAAAGTCTACTTGTATTCGATTGAGACTTTTTAAAATCTATAAGAAGTTGGAGGTATTCAAGAATTTATAAAAGTAATGGATTTTGAATAATCATTCATGCGGACTTTCAACTCATTTTCATATTTTCTCCAACATTGTCTAGCCTTATGCAAAGTGGACTTTATCTTTTCTTCTTGTATGAGCTCGGGAACATTTGCGTTTTTAGGTTTATTTCATCCTAAAACTTTTTTAAACAAAAATTACTTTAAATAAAAAAATATTTTAATTATTGGACGACATGAGAAATATTGACATGAGTCCATGTCAAATTATATTAGATTTTTATTTAAAAAAAATTGATCTCCAGCTTGTACAATATATTCCATATTTCTAGGTTAAAAAAGAACAATTTAGACCTCTTTTTTTTTTTGAAAAATTGAAATAATTGTTTATAGAATTTTTTAAGTTAAAATATAAAACACATTTATTAATCTTTTTTGTACGATACTGCTTTGAACTGTTTAAATCCAAATATTTTTTCTAATTTTATCTACCACCATTTTTTTTAATTTTTTTAAATTTCAATCAAGCAAAACAAATGAAATTGATGAACAAAATTGAGAAAATTTATGTTTGAGATGATTTGAAACACAAAAAAATTAACAAAACAGTTTTAATGAATGATGATTGTGTCATTCAACTTATTTAAGCAATAACTCAATGGAAAAATAATAATGAAAACAATTAATTTTCTGCATTATTTGTTTCGCTAGAAGGAAAAGTTTCTTTGTCACATTTAATTGGGATAATATATTCTTTAGAATGTTTACGTTTAAAAATTATTACGGAGTATATGCTATGATTGTTTATAAATAATGCAACTGTGTACATTTGATTAAATATATTCACTATTACTTAAATATATTTACTTAAATAAATTTACTTTCTGTCCATTTGGTGAACATAGGAGATATGAATTTATATATCTCCGAATATCAAGTTTCCTTTTTAGTGTTTTGTGAGACAAAAAAATATAAATTCGACGTGTCCATTAGTCCTAAAATGTACATATTTTTTTAAAAAAAATCTGAAGTAATAACGAAGTTCTTCGAATATTTTTTGTTACTCCATTTCACCCAAAAATGTTGCTGTTCACTATTCAAAGATTAAAAGAAATTTTATTTATTTATGTATTTAAATTGACAATTTGATAAAATAAATTATCATTTTTTGTTTTAAAGAACTTTTAACGTTTTTAAATATAAAAATTTTATTTCTTATTTCTATACCAAATAAATTTGTAAAACTTAAAATTTCATTTCATTTTATACAATATGACAAATATTTTGAGATGGATGAAGTATTTTTTTGATATTCATTAAACTTATTAAATCTTGCAAAGTGAGTACGGAGTAACAAAATGTAAGTTCCAAACGGTCCAGTCTTGTCATATGATTCCTATCTCTAGTCTTTATCAATAGAGAGTAATTAAACGAATCCTCCATGCATAAAAAAGGTGATGTAAACGTCACAACGACATCATTAATTAGCACTCCCAAGCTTGCAATTTAGGAGGACATCGATGGAGAAAAACAAGTATGAGCTCCATTCCCAAATGCCTCCTTAAAAGTCAAACCTAACCAGACGATCACAAAAAAGAGATAAATTATACTTTAATCACAAATTGATGGTAAAAAATGAAACCTGCACCTGATACTTGTAGAGACACTATTCTTAGCATAATTACCTCTCGACGCAGTTGTAAGAATGAAACTCAGGTATTATCTCTTTGATATTCTTTTTTTTTGCCAACTACGCAACGCCTACCAGCAAAAAACTTTGGAGGGTAAACTTTTTATACTAACCAGCCCACCGCATTGTGGTCCAACCGCAAGAAACTCCAACGTTTAGCTTGGACCTACAAATTAGTATACACCACTTGCTCCTATTCGTTTTGTCATACCCAAATTAGGGTTGAGAATTTTTTTAAAGTGTCACTACTAGTGATATCTACGAAAACAGAGTCAAACTCTCAAACCCATAAATAGGTGGAAGTCATTTTTTGTTGGTAGATGACTCGAAATCAAGTACTCTCAAGTTTTTTTCTTTCAAGGACAAAAGACGAGCAAGAAAACGACCCAATCCTCTCATACAAAGCCAGCCTACCAACTGCCTTTCTCTTTAGTGAAAAGGATAGGATGAGAGATTGGATGAGGGAATATAGACAATTCAATAAAGTTATCTCATTTCATCATGATGAGTAAGTGTTGCTTATAGCAGCAGTGGCTCCCCCTTCATTTGTCATGTAATTTTTTAGCAGATTACATTAGAAATTAACTTCATTAAGGTTGCGTTCCATTCATCTGATCTGATTGAATCTGATCTGATTAAGTTTGATCTGAGTTTGATTAAAATTAAAATTAAATTTTTATTATAATAGTTATAATAATAATAATAAAAATATCAATTTTAATTTTCTTTAAATCTAATCTGTCCTGATCTAATTAGATATGATCTGATCTGATTGAATGTGATCTAATTTTAATAAGAATAAGCAGAAAAAATAAATTGAACGGAAAGCTGCCTAAATCAAATAATACTCCTTTTGGGGACAAAACTCTATGAAAGGAGCTTTTTTTAGACAGATGAGGTATTGAAGTAAGCTAAAAACCCCATGAAGTATATATTCAAACACTGCTGAAACAGGTCGTATTAGAACACCGGGAAACACTGGATCATAAATTCTCATACAGTGTGAGAATTCAGCATACAAGATCAAACAACAACCCTAGTAAAACCCAACTTGGTTGGAGACAAATTTACTCCTGTAAAATCATTAAGGTTGTTTATCCTTGATGTGCATTTACTTCCCAAAACATGATAGAAGGTGAGGGACGAGGGAAGTTTCATGTCAATTTGATATTGCCCATTATTTACTTTCAGCTAAAACATTGTAAAAAATGACTCTTTTTTCCTTTTTTTCAAGGAAAATGTGTAGCAAGAAAAAGTAAACCTGCACATTGACCTTGAGAAGAATAACTATGGATCATCATCATAAGGTACATTTGGTGCTGAAGACGGCCATTCAAGAACTAATTTTCCACTGACTTCAAATTTAGCAAGCACAGATACATCAGCAGGGTTTTGACTTGATACATTTCCACTCAAGTCCAGGAACTCTACCTTCCCTGATTAATGTAAGGGAAAAGCTTAAAGTTCCCAATGCTATAAATGAAGTAATTCAACTAGAAGACACTATTTGGAAATTTTGACACACACTGGCAATAATGTCAAATAGATGGGAAACAAAAGACATTTGGAACATATTTACCATTTGCAACTTCAAGGCCAGACCCTATGATTGCCAAGGATTCAGCAGGCATGAAGTTATATCCAGCATTAATGGCTAGAAGTTCCGGGGCATGTGAGAAAAGCTTTGACATAAAGTTTGCAGTTTCAATGCCACCGTGATTCTTGCTGCACAATGTTTCTAGAAGCTTTAGGTTTTAGAGAAATATTCATCGCAAAAGAAAAAAAGAAAGTAAATTTAGGGAAAATTTTGCAGTTTTGCACGGTTGCACCAATTTGATTGACCTTATGTCTATGCATATGAGCTTTAAGACTCCCACTATCTGTTCTCGTGCTTTTGAGAAGCCAGAAGATCCAAGCCCAATATCATCAATGTCAAGGGCTAGAATGCCCTTGCAGAGAAATTTTCCTATTGCTGCTCCTATCTCACTGCAAATAGAAATGTATCATTTTGCTTAACAGAAACAAATATAAAATATACAGCACCATATTGTTATTGTAATTGTGTAATGTGTAAACTACCCAAACCTGCCAAGAGTATTGCCACCAATTGAAAGAGAGGTAGGCGAGTTTTGCAAGCTAGAGAGACATTCTAAAAGATGGTTCACCCCATTGAAAGTAAGCTCACAATTTTCCAATCTCAACTCAATCATCTTACATGTTCCTTCAATATAAGTAACCAAACTCCTGAAAAATAGTCTTTTTATGATCTAGCGCATGCACATTTTTTTTATATAAAACAATCAAATAACCTGACTCCTTCATCCTCAATGGGATTGTCACTTAAATCAAGACTCTCCAAATTAGGCATGTAGATATGCACGTATCTGAGACAATCCACATCATCTTTACGTAGATCATTGTTCCTGAAAATGAAATGTGTGCATATCTCAAGATGAAATAACAGGTCAATCAAATGGAATGACAAGATATGTATATTCCCAAATTCTGCGGTTCCCCACTAGTAAGTAACAAACAACTCGCGTCAAAAGGTACAAATATTATATTAGTACCTGCAAAGACAATAAAAAATAAGAAATTGAATCACATTCTTTAGTTGGTGTGTGGTTATGTTCTATTTGTCGACCACTTTTTCAGGTTCACCTAAAAGATGAGTGATGGTGAAGAGGAAAAATATAAATTACTCCGTATATATTTAAGATATACCTTAAATTCAGTACACGTAATGACTTCAACGAATTGGATATTCCAAAAGGCAAGTGCATGTTACTTGTGGACTGCCATTTAAAGTGAGAGAGCCAACCACTAATCTGCAATATAAAAAGGACAGCTATTAGTATATTAGTGGTTATATAACATAACAATACAAATGTCAAAACTCACATTGTTTTCTGAAAGATCTAGGATGGATATGCTAGACAACGCACCAAGGAGTGTGTGGAAGATCATTCTCGCACAATTTTGATCAAGTTTGCTATCAGACAAACTCAACGAACACAAGGACCTGTAGAAACAAGATGCATGCTTGGAAGTTTTATATTACCGTTACAGTTTAGTAAGGGTAGTTTCAATAAATAGTGCTTATTTATTACAATTGCATAGGAGTTAGATGATGCCTTTACGCTGGACTGTGGATACAATGATAGCGATGCACTCGTTTTAGATTATAGAATGAAATACTAGCTACAATCTAAAACCAGTAATCAATTCTACAATATTGTTTTACAGTTTAGGACTTTAGGGTCTCAACAAAACCGAACCCTAGAGAGTTGGAAATCTCGATAAAATTCCCAAAGTTCTTCATGGGTTCTCCGCTCAAAAGTTCTTTGCCCTTTTTTCATATAGTAGCCAGTTATATTTTTTGAAATAAAGCACACTAAAAACAACTTCCACAAATCTAAACATCTCAGGATCTAAATAAAGACTATACATGAAGTTTTATCGAGACGGGAATCTATTGTAAACCTTAGTCATGAGACTTTCTTTTAAAATTAATTTATAAATAACAGGGTTAAATAACTTTAGAAAATAATTCACACTAAATTTCAAACCTCCAACCCAGACATAGTTGGGATTAAAGTTAAGATGGTGTTGTTGGAGGAGCAGGATGAGAGAGAGAAAGAGAGACAGAGGAGGAGTGTCGCTTTAGATCTGTCATTCTGTCCTCTCATCTTAAATTCTCCAGTTCTGGATAAGAACTCTCTTTTGTTCTCTAAAATAGGAGAAAATGAAGAAATAAACAATTTCCTTTACAAATTTAAAATTTTGAAATTGGGAAAGATAACATGGATGCTCATAGTATACTTCATTTGATGTACAATGCTCTCACAATGGCTAAGAATCCTAGTTCTTTCATTGCTTACACACCTCACTCATTTTGCAAAAAGGCGAATTGTACATATATACCTTCCGGATGATAAGAAAAGCAGCAGTCCAGAGGGTAGATTAGATCCACCATTTTCCGAAAGAAATCTAGATGCCATGATAGTGAAATGTTGGACATCGTGAGTTTGAAGATCATTGAAGCATAATGAGCTACAAATTGCATTCAGAGTTGATGCAGAAAACTTGGAATATATAAAATTAATGGACTTCAGGGTCCCACTATTCTGCTTTAAAAGTTTACACAATCCCTCAACCTGTAAGTCAGCAAGCAACAAATAAATGAAATTAGCTGTATAAAATCTGCTAAAATGCCTTTCCAAAACTTTGCAAATTTCTTATGCTACTTCACAGAACTGTTTTAGAGCTTATGGACACTGTACTATGCTGAATCAGACAATCAATTTAACAATAAGTGAACTACAGGCTCGCTCATGAGGAGGTTCTCCAAGTGCATTTACAAAGGCCCCCCAAGAGCAAGGGGTACATTTTCTTTGCTCTTCTGTTTAATTAGAATTCTTAAATTTTTTTTGTTGTTTGTCTCACAAAATATTTTCAGTTTTCCTATGGCTACAATTTTTTCATATTTTTTCTTTTTCTTCAACCACATAATTCTTTAATCTCCGTGTTGATTACTGTTGGAAAAATTCAGCAGAACGGATAAATTATGTACTTTTAAAGGAAGATATTTTTTTCTTATATGTTAATGTTAATTGGATCAATTTTGAAATAATCGACGATGGTATTTGACAGCTTCCAACGAGATTATCGTGACTCAAAGTTAGATTATTTGGAGTTTTAATTAGTTAAATAAGTTATTACATTATCCGTTCATACGTATTTTTGTATTTGTTCGTAATTATTCCATTTTAACTAGTTTATTCCGGTGATTCTTTCTTATTTGATTCCCATTGCATAACAATTTCAATTTAAATATTTATCAATCTTAATTGAACTACTTTAATACATCCTCTGTCCGGAAAAGATCTTCTCATACACTATTCACATACACTACTCACAGGGTCAAACTTCAATTACTTTGTTTGCTTATTTTAACTACTCATTTCATAAAATAATATAGTCGAATCAAATAAATTAAATTGAAAATAAAGTTGGTCAAAGTCTTGTAACGCGTAATGAGATCTTTTTAAGACGGAGGGAGTAATTTTTAAGGCATGTTTGGTAACTTGCATTTGGATTTCAAATCTATATTTGGCCTAAATCACATGTTTGGGAACTTAAATATTTTTTTTAATGGAATTTAGACTTTTAAGTCTACTTTAATAATTTCATGGAATTTAATCTTTTAAGTCTCAAAATTGAAGGCACTATGTTATGTAATAAAATGTTGAATAGAAAAAAGATTTTACATTTTCGTGAATTTATACAGAGCGTATATTTTTAACTTTAGGGGCTAAAAATATAAAGTTGCACCTGGCCCTCGAAAATGATTGGACGGGCCTGGTGAACTATCCCCTTACCCTCATGCCTCAACACAAACACACATAGTAGCTAAGACATACGAGCGTACAAGTACAAGAAGACAACTTACATCCTCTTCCGTTTGAGATTTTATCCACCTTAGTTCCAACCTCTGCAGTTTAGCATTTCTTAACAAATACTGCAGCAAAGAACAATGAGAGCTCATGAAGGCAGATTAAATAAAAACCATTAATTTTGACTTTTAATTTGACTATCATTTGAGACATAATTGAATAAGAACTTCACAGCAATGCAAGGATCAGCTTCCTTTAATTGAACCCCAAACAATTAATCAGACCAAAAAATGTAACTTACACAGGTTTCTGCAACACAAAGCACACTAGGTAGCCTCAGATAACTGCAACAAGAATATGTTTAACTTAAACTCATTCTAAGGCATAAGGATATACAACAACAACAACAGCCCACTATAATCCCAACTCCGTAAATAGAGGTTTTTGTTTTACCCTTGATGCAAATTTACTACAAAATCTTCATAGAAAGTAAAAAGCAATGGAAGTTTAATTTGCAATTTTGATTTAGTCCAATATTTACCGAAAGCCAAAACAACGAAACATTGTCAATAATGACTCTTTAAGCTCCGTGGTTAATGGACGATACAACATATGTGATATACTGATATGTCCTTGTAAACAAAAGGCGTAAAGGTCAAATTTACTATTTAACAGATTTTGTAACTTACTCTTTAAACTCAAATACTTCAATATGTCAAGAGAGGAGGGTGCAGGGTGCTCAACTAAGTTTTTGAAACAGATAATAATTACGTAGTACTACACAAGTGTTCTGTGCTCAAGGATTCCCAACAAAACTAACATGTTACCAGGCATATAATCCAAATTGTTGGCAGTGATATGTGAACATCGAGGGGTCATGAGATGAGGCAGGAAAGTGTTCCCTATAACCAATATGCTTCAGTATAGACTCTGCAGAAAAAAAGTATCCACAAAAATGATTATTTGCTGGTCTGTAGATATATCCTCTGAACGTGCTCGATCATCTGACATCTGCGCCTAATTCTTGCAAAGCATGAGGTACTCGCACTTTACTATGAAGTCCAACCATTTCAAATTAAAGGAGGCACATAATAAACTGTGCTCAGAATTCCCAAATTTACATTTAACCACCACCCAGCCCCTTATCCCACCCATCGTCCCTCACCATCCGCCCATGAACCATGTCCACCCTCCCCCGCCCATCCACCTGTGTCGCCCCCTATGCTACTAAAATATTACTCTCTCTGTCCGCCACTTTCTTTAAGGGCAACTTGGTAAACTTCAACCAATTTTCAACTCTCCTTAAACACCATGCAAAGTCAACTAGAGAAGAACTTTACCGGACGAAGGGAGTATTAAATTGTCTCAAAACATCTTTTTCAATATTAATTTTCAAATATTAACAATAGAAGCTAATTTTTTTTAAAAAAATATTTTCCTTCCTACAAAACGAAAAATATGATTGGAAAAATAATTTTCCTTGGAAGTCATTTTCCATTAAAAGAAATATTCTTCTAGGAAAATATTTTTCCCCAACCAAACACACCCATTAGTGTCTAATTATCCGTCAACAGACTACAGAGAGTAGCAAGAAAGAAACTTTTTCATACCAGGAACTTTAACTTCACCAATATGACCTTCAAAAGAAGGTAATAAAGCTATCTCTGCAGCTGCATCCAGACAGCTGTACTTCAGATTAACATAGTGAAGCTATTTTATTACTGATGAAGCAAAACGAAGTTAGTTGCCTCCATAAATCTAAAAATACTAATCAACCGCAACTCATACGTTTGTAGATGTGTCTCCCAGTAAATCTGCTGCCAGTCATGAGTGAATTCATGCTTTGGTTCCCTTCTTTTGATCAAGTTATGTAATGACCATATTTCCCCATGCCTATATTTCTTGTCACAATCAGGCCACCGTGCTTTATATAGTGTCTCCCAAACTTTCTGAAAACTCACATGTCTGCATACAAATAATTTTTAAAATTGTGAAATTTCACCATAATTGCTAGACCCAACTTAAGAAAAAGCAACGAGTCCTATATATTCTTAATCTATGAACAATAACATTGAAAAAAACTACTGGGGGTATGATTTAACATGTGTTAAATGTACTCTATTATATTTCATTTTCTCTAACTAATATGATAGTCGATAAAGACTAGCAAACCTTCTCCTTTTTCTTGGAATATCGTTTTCGTAGTTATCAGGAACAGATCCATGATCGTCCCCAAAGTCAAATGGCCTGCAGCAAAAATATTATGGAGTATCCATTATGTTTCATCACCCAATGCCCTAAGGAGGATATGCAAACATCATTCAAAGATAAACTGACAAATAATATGTCTCAGACAAATTCACAAGAGCCAAGTTTCATAACACTTGGATGGCAAAGAAAAAAACCAATATTTTTAAATTGTTAGTCTCTTTTACTTTTAGTAAGGTAATCTTGAGGTCAGGACCTAGCACAAGGCCATCGTTGTCGAAGTATTGAAATACGGAAAAACATTTATAGGAAGTAAATGGACTAAGTGAGAATGGACTAATGGTAGTTTTGCAATTAAACATATAGTTTTAGCATACCAAGAATGGAATTTACTAGTGTAGCAATGTAAAAAATGCTGGTGAATTGGAGAATTACCAGCAAAGAAGTGGTGGAATGAGACGATAAGAAGAAAAGAAATTGAACATCTTGAATGTGCATATGCAGATGTTTCATGAAATGAGAGGTAAAGAAGAGAATGCTAAAACAGTGGCATATTTCCCGCAATCTAGATTTGGTTGAACACTTGTCTCAACACCTTAAGTTTGAAGAATTAGGTTCAATTACAAACAAAAAGAACATGTAATTGGCTTGTCCTCCATTGTAGGGTTTGACCGACAATATTTCTTAAAACATATTAGCAAAAATATAAAAAATACTCCATTAATTTAAGGTATTTTGCGATACCAATAATTTGGTATAATTTTTATATTTTAATTCATTGTATAAGTATATACTCAGTCAAACATCTGACACGCAAAGCGAAACAGACCGTTAAATAGAAATGGAGGAAGTACTCCTTAACACATACAAAGATGTTTGATCAATAGCAATTGAAACTAACATTTGTTCTTGCAGTCTTTGCAAAGCCAGCGGAGGTAACAGAGGCAGCAAGGGCTGAAACAACTCTGACGGAAGTTGATAAACGCCGGCGATGAGATCAACATCGCCACCTAGTGGAAACAGCCATAATCAACCGAAGATAATCAGCCTTATTGACAAACCCTACTAGCCGAGGGAGAGAGGAGATTGAAACGTACCGCAAAGAAGGCCGTCTTTGATAACACCGGAGCATAGATTGAATAACGAGGGGACTTCAGTCGGAGATGAACTTTCCTTTCTCGCCATAGAAGTTCTAAAGCGGATTATGAGAACAAGAACAGTAGAATCCCTAGTAGGATTGATATATAGGAACAGACTTAACCCTTAAATCCGATTAACAGCGGCAGATTACAACCAGAAACTCTGAACAGTTTTTGGTGCAATGGTGTTCCACAAAGCAGAACGAGCTCTGGAACAATTCCTACTGTACACATGTTCCTTCTTTGCTCCATTAAAATGTGGTTTATACGGAGTAACATGTTCCTTTTCACGGGATTGTATAATTTTAATTACCTAAAATATATCTATAAATTTGATTTAAAATATAAAATAAAAAAATGAAGAAATAAGTGAAATACGTAGTATGTATTAAAGTTGTTACTCCATATTATATCGCGAATAAGAGCATTGATAATGGCAAGACAAAAATGAAATGCCACACGGTGACATGAATTATTTCAACCAATAAAAAGTAACTCAGTCACCGTGTGGCAAATGAGTGGAGTGTCGTAACATACGGTGTCAAGTCGTTGTTTTTGTTTATTTTTGCACTTTTTAATGATTTTTAATTATAAAAAATTATTATAAAAATCTTTTTTATTATTAAAATATGTTTACTTCTTTTAAAAAATATTTTTTTCAAAAATTACAAATATTAAAAATATTAAAAAAAATAAAAAATGAGAGAGTCATGCCTTGCACATGGAATGAAAAGTGGGGTGGAATGGCCATGGAATGCCATTATTTGAGTGAAATTTGGTGACATGCCATGGCAAGAAGCGAAACGCATAAAATTTATAGGCATTAATTTTTTTTGAATTACTTCGGGATGGCTTCTTTAGACCTATCATTTTTAAAGATTTGGTGATATGTGTGAAAAAACTGGATACATTTTTAACCTCTACTGTATTTCTAATTCATATATACTCTAATTTTTTAATTCAGATGTATATTTTTTGTGAATATATTGTAGATGCAAAAGTTTGAAAAGTTAATTTTTATTTAGAAATTTGTGACTACTTTTTAAACTCTAAAATTACTAATTTTAGTTACATAAATGAAAATAAAAAATCTTCGTGAATAGAAGTAAAAGAGTATGAAAATACCAAAATATGAGTCTTAAGTCTTTTTAAACCCAAATAAGAGTATAATGATTGTGTGGTATACGAGTACGCGTTGGCAGTGTGATAGAAAATTGATAATAGTGTAATATGTCAGTGTGATCGATCAACTATCGGTGATCCGCAGTGACACTCTAGTGGCTAGCAGCGATGGATGGCAGTGTGGCGGTGATAGTGTGGCAATTATAATGCGACAATGTAGTGAGTGTGGCAATGTAGCAATGACTGTGTGACTCCTATTTTGGTATTTACATAGTTTTTTACTCATATCTAGAAAGTTCTCTCAATGAAAATTGTATCTGCACACAAAAATTTTTAATACTTCGAAAAAATATTTAAGAATAGTAAAAAAACAAAATAAAACTGTGAATGAAATAAGAAAATGAGTTTACAAAATAGTTGTTTATCTTATAAATTTATTTACTAATTTCTCAAAAAAAAAAAATTATTTTCATCATAGATGTAATTCTTGAAGATAGTAAAGTCCTATTTTAATTACTCTATACGTAGACTTATTTAAGTGTTATTCTTTATTTATTTGTTTTAATATAAATAAACTCTATATATGTGATATTTATATGGTTAATTACACAATGTCATATCTAAAGTATTGTAAAACTATACATTTAAACACTACAACTAAATTTGGAGTTTAACCTATATTATATACTTTCTCTGTCTTGTCAAAAACATATTTTTTTTTGAATAATAAAATAGAAAAACATGTGCACTAATGTAATACCCCGATTTGAAAATAAATGGATTGAGGAAAGAAAATGCTTAAAAAGATTGATATTACTACTTATATCAACAAGGTGCATCTTCTTTTCGAGATCTCATTACTTAGAAACTCCAAAATTAAGTGTGCTTGATTTGGAGCAATCCTAAGATGGGTGACCCCTGAGAAGTTCCTTGGGCGCGCATGATTGTGGATAAAGTGTGCGAGAAAGACTTGTGCTGATTTGTGGAGCCAGTCTACAATCTTATGAGCAGACACTATGGTTAGGGTGGGGGCTGGGGTGGTACTAATGGTACCAAAGCAACCCTGCGACTGTGGCAGGCCAACAAGCTTAGTTCACATAACGGAAAAAATATAGGGGTTTGTAAAAAATTAAAGGATGCAACGAGGACATTGCATTCTTAAGCGGGGGTGAATGTAATATCCTGATTTGAAAATAAATGGATGGGAGAAAGAAAAGGCTCAAAAGGATTTATAGTAGTACTCATATCAATAAGGTGCATCTTCTTTTCGAGAAGTGACTTGGAGCAATTCTAGGACGGGTGACCCCTGTGAAGTTCTTTGGGTGCGCACGAGTGAAGACAAAGTGTGCGGAAAAGACTTATGTTGGTATGTGAGACAAGTTTACAATCCTATAAGCGGACGCTTACGGCTAGGGTGGGGGCCGAGGTGTTACAACTAAAAATAGAAAATAATATTTTTTGAATAAAAAATAATTTAAATAATGATGCGCATGCATTTAATTTTATATAAATATTTGTTACTTTTTATAAATATTCATTTTGAAATGCATAAAAGAAGAAATAAATGATTAATAGTTATAAAAATATAATGTTTTGTTTTTAAAAAATTATAAGATTTAAACAATATAAATATAAAATAATAACATATATATGTAGATAAAAATAAACATATTGGTATATTAGTTGGAAAATGAGGAGTTTTATAAAAAAATTAAGTGATACATATGTGTCTTTTTATTTGCTTCACTTTCATAATGCATCCATTTATGTAATAAGGAGTAATTAAGTGGCACATGGTGACATGATGTGGCATTGTAGTTGGCGTGATATGCATAGTTTCTCGCAATGACATGGGGTGACACATGTTGTAAGTACAATTATTCCTATCAACTTTATAAATTACTAGTATTTTAACTCGTGCCATGCATGGGATGAAATATCTTTTTTTTTGTTTTTGTAAATTTTCATCGTTACAAAATTTTTCAAATACTGAACAACATAAAACATATAGCATTTGGTAATTAATATTTTACTATACATTTAAACATTAACATTTCAAAGTCTCATTTGAATTTAAATATTTTGAAAAAATGTTTAGGTATACAATGGTATTTTTTTTTGTGAAATTATAAAGATTACCAAAGACATCTTATATTACAGTTGTTTACACTGTTGAATCCCAAAAGCGTGGACTCCCCCATGCCCACACCCTATTGTTTTTGGGTCAAGAAGATAAATTCGACATCTAAATATATTGATCGAATCATATATGCGGAGTTACCAGATGAAGTGAATGATCCAAGATACTTTAACATTGTTCGAGATTTTATGATTCATGGACTGTGCGGCACCAATGGACCAAAATCGCCTTGCATGAAGGATGGCAAGTACTCCAAATATTTCCCAAAACAATTCAGCGAGGAAATAAACATTGACGATAATGGGTGTCCAAAATATATGAGAAGAAATAATGGCCAAACATTATTGAAGAACCACGTGGGAGTCGGGTTATCCTTGCATCAACTCGCAAATGATCCAACATATTTGTTAAGTCGGGCTATCCTTGCACCAACGTTAGACGTTGTGGATGAAATAAATGACTACATGACATCATTAAACAAGGGAGAAGCAAAAAGCTATTTTAGCTCTGATGTAGTGTGTAAGTCTGGTTCAAATGCATGATTCTTAACAAACTTGTGTTCTCCTTAAGTTCTAAATGACACACGAGCATTTGGTGTGCCAAATCATTAATTGAAGTTAAACATCGGAACACCCATCACGTTGTTGAGGAATATTGACCAATCATCAGATTTGTGCAATGGAACAATGTTCATAGTTACTCGATTGGGCAATCAACTTATTCAAGGGACGATGCTGACAGGGAAAGATATTGGTCAAGAAGTTTTTATCCCGCGGTTGTTTCTTACACCATCAGATACGAGAATTCCTTTTAAGTTTCAAAGGAAACAATTCCCAATTATGATTTCATATGCAATGACAATTAACAAAAGTCGAGGACAATCTATATCGCATGTTGGACTTTTTACTCAAGAAGTCGGTATTCAGTCATAGGCAGCTCTATGTGGCAATTTCACGTGTCACAAATCGCAAAGAGTTAAAGAACTTGATTTGAAATGAAGACTTTGCATCGTCGAACCATTGCATATTAAATTCATTGTCTTGTTATATAGATTTCAAGATTTCCACGTTGATTATTCAGAATTGTTCTTTCGCTTTTGAATATTTCATTTCTAACCTAATATAATGTAATGTAGTATTACACCCTCCCTGAAAGGTCATTAAAAACTCCAATACTTTAGCATAGTTAGCACTGAATGCCACTGATAATATTGAAGTTGTATTATTCCCATACATATCTCTTGAAAAAATAAATTAGAAGTAAACAATACTTTATTTTTTTACTACTAATAAGTCTTATGCATGCCCAAACCCATTGCGCGGATGCCCATAAAGCAATTCATTGTTTGCAAAAAGACCTTCATCTACAAACTAAGAGTGTTGGAGGCAGATTTGGTTTTTCACCACATCATGCCATAGAACTATGCGTGATCACTACATGTAGTACACCACTGTCTTCATAAGCGAATCTGAGATTGAATTGAGCTTATCATCGTTCCACGCCTAGGCATTGTAGCCAATCCAGGTCTTCCAAGAAATTACATATAATGCATGCAAAGAGTCTGAAACATTCCTTGGTCCATAATTTTGGATTAGTTTAAAAGATCGTTCAAATTTGGGAGTATTAGTAAATTTTATTCCTTTGAATTTTCTTACTTTTTGCTTAAACATATCAATCGTCTACACCTGATGTTGTTTGAAAATTTTGCATACCACCACCTCATAAGAATTAGATGGTTTCGCTCTCTTTTGCATACACATCAACCTCATAATATCGCCCTTCTTACTAACCGCATCCAAACAGTAATTTTTGTGGGATTTTACTAGGTTTGTTGTTGTGTTCTTTTGTCTAAGTTCTAATCCCCAGCCCACTTCATTTTCGTATGTTTGTGTTGTATTCATGCAGAGTTATCCAATATGCTTTCAAGTTTCAAGAAATATGCTGAGGATGTGTTGTCTTAAACTTGGAAAGTCAAATTTGCCCATAACTGTGTGTGTTTACAAAAGAGAATTATATAAATAATATGGTTTTAAAGATATACTTCATATCTTAAACACTCCTATTGGTCCTATATCTTTAGGTTTTAATTAATGGTTTCATTTGCTGGCCGGGAACTGCCATAAATCTGATTTATTGACGTCAACGAGAAGGCAAATATTCGCTCTTTTAATTTGTCTTAGAGATGAAGCATTAACATCTTCTTAGCTTCTCTACGTATTTAAGTGTTCAAATCTAATTAAATTCCTTAATTACTTTCGTGGGCAGCTTTTGTAAGTCACTCGGCTAGAGTTTGATGGCTTTGTCACCCAAATGTCAAACTTGGTGTCCCATTAGTGGTTTTTGAGTAAACCATTAGTGTTTTTTTAGGATTACGCTATTTGTACACCAATATTTGTATCCCATTTTGTACTCCAAAGACATGCACCAACATTATGTGCTAGTGTGATGTTAGTGTGATGATTTACATTGGCAATAAATGTCAGTGCAATTTTTTTAATTGAACTAACATTTTATGCTCGTGTGAATTGTTAAAATATCGGTGCATTTCTTTGGAGTACACTTTTGGTGTACCCCTAACATGGTTGGTGTTTTTTATTCTCGCCCTTTTCTTACAAATAAAATACGAAATATTTATTTTTTCTACTAAAAATTGAAATTGTATTATCTAGGGGTGAGCAAGTACCTAACCGATACCGAAATTTCCTGAAAAAACCGAGAATACCGAACCGAAAAATACCAAACCGAAAAAGTACCGAGAAGGAACTGAACCGTACCGAACCGAATGGTCGGTACGGTATTCGGGAACGGTACGAGGTGACGTCCCATACCGAAAATCCCGTACCGAACATATATACTAAAATATTATAAAAAATAATACACCAGAGTAATATTTTTATATTCCTTCACTAAATAATAATTTTAAAAAAATTGGTTCAAGTTCTATGATGTGTAAATTATACTTTTATTTGAATTTTAATTTTTGTGTATGAACATAAAAGTATTCACAAAGATTTGAAATACTCCTTTGTGGTCATTCATTTTTTTAGTTTGTGAAATATAAACTAAGTTTTGATACGCATCTCTTGCATTTAAATATTCATTTTTTTAATTTTTCATATTTTTTATTTAAATTCACTTTTAATTTTCAAAAATAAAGGGGTATTGTTAAATTTTAACGTGTAAAGTAGGTATGTATATTTATCCCGAAACCAATACCGAACCATCTCGAACCATACCGAATTGATATTTCGGGATCGGGATCAGTACGGAGTAAAATCCCATACCGAACCGAAATATTTGGTACGGTATCGGTACGAGCTAAATACCGTACCATACCGTACCGTACCATGCTCACCCCTAGTATTATCCTTGGAGCATGATGTATAGCAACTTCGGTAAATAGCGAAGTCCATGTATAATTGATGGCTATAAACCATCGAATATATTAAATAATATGAATTTTAGAGAGAGAGAATGCAAAGTAGGAGTTTATTCACTTCAAATTCGGATCCATTACAATGAGAGGTATCACCCCTTTTATAGGGGATACAATACACCAAGTCAAAGCCCTCTGATCTAGGTTCGTCGGCTAGCGGACGTCACCCGTCCCTTAGTCTTGTCCCTTTCATCCTATCACTATCACTAAGTCCCTTTCGCAGGTCGCTATCTTCACGTCGTTGTCATGGGGTTCGGGCTCGGCTTGGCTGGCTGAGCCGAGCTGGGAGGGCTGAGCGGAGCTCGGGTGTCGAGCGCAGACGTCCCAACCCAGCGATTCCCCTTCGGCGAAGTACATGCTGACGTCAGCCCTAGGCTGACGTTGGGTTATCCCCCATCAGAAGCCCCCCACTCTCCGGGTTCCGTAGCAACTAACAGCGGAGCACGCGAGAGTAGAAACACTGTGGATGGTTAGCTCGTGGGCCCACACACCGGTTGGCAGACAGGTGGTGAAGTTTGGGGTTCCCCAACAAGCGGTTGTGACGTTTCGTTTTCCCAAGTGGCAGCCCATCATGACACCTGTTCGGACCATCATTACTTGGGCCCAATATTAGTATAAATAGCCCTCAAGGCTTCCTTTACCCTCACATATTTTAGAGAGAGAAACTATTGGAGCTCGTCCTTCCATCACCGTTCCGTGCCGCCGATCGCTGCATTCTGACAATCTCTCCGCCGACGTCCACCCGAGGTGAGTCCCTCCTCCTCTGCTCTGTCCATGTCTCTAGAGTCTTCCTCCCTCCACCAGTCCGAAGCCAAGCACGGGCTCGGACTCGGGAGTCAGGGTTCCGTTCCCCAGGACGGCCAAGGGGAGCAACCGAGTTCCCCATCCGTTGAGGAAATCGTGGCGGTTGAGATCCCCAGGGAAACTGATCCCCGCTTCCAGAAGCGCACCGTGCTCGTGGACTCGCTCATCCGCGAGTGCAAGTGCGACTTGTCGGGTGACGAGTATCTCAAGGCGGTGCGCTACGCCGGCCCGGTGTTACAGTCCGTCTTCCTACCCCGGAAGAGTCAGTCTTTGACGCTCCTCCGGGCTTCTTCGCCATCCACCTCAAGTCCCTTGAGAACAGGTTCCGATTCCCCCTCAAATCTCTGGTTGTTGATTTCTTCAAGCGCTTCGACTTCCTCCCGTGCCAATTGGTGCTGAATTCGCACCGCTACTTGGCGGGGTTCCTCATCCGTTGCCGCCGGACGGGCGTACGGGCCGACCTCAATCGCCTCCAGACTTTGTTCCGGGTGGCGAAGTCCTCCGGGTCGGATGGGGGTTCTTACGTCACCCTCTGCCAACGGCAAGAGAAGCTCTTCAAGACCAAGAAGGACTCCAATAAGACTTGGAAGTCCAAGTTCATTTTCGTCTCCGTGGGATCTGCTTCCCCATTCCGAGACACTCCTCTCAGTTCTTTCCGTCGGTGATCCAAGCCCTTCGCCTCGCCCAAGGTCATCGCCGACGTGGAGAAGCTGTTTGCGGGAGGTCCTTATGAGCCCATGTCCTTAGTGAATAATGAGGCACTTGCCGAGCTCGGGTTCGTCTTTTGGGAACAAGACGAGCCCAAACGCCGGGTCGTCTAACGGCACCTCGAGGAGGGCCCCTTAGGTTTCCCTCATTCATTTCCTTGGCGGACATAGGCTCCGCTCGCCAATCGTTCCGGGGATTTGAACTTATCTCTTATTTTCCTTGCATGCAAAATCATGCTTTCCGCGGCTGACCAGAAGAAGCTCTTCAAGTCCAAGCCGAGCCAGGGATCCACCCAAGCTCGGCCTCCGATGTCGACCGCCACTCCGTCCGCCATGTGCGCCCTGCTCAATAAGAAGCGCTAGGACGCGTGCTCTTCGAGGGACGTGGCCTCAGCGAGTGTGATGAAGTCCCCATCTCCGCGCTCAACGGACTTTGGGAATCCGGCCTTTGTGAAAGTGGCGTTCCCCCCAATCCTTCGTTCCTGCACGGGGACTACGAGCCTCGCCAGTTTGTGCAGAGCTTCGTCCCTCCCCCGACCAAAGGGAGATTAGGGCCGCCGGCTCGGCTGATCTCACTTCTGCCCTCCTGCGGGAGCTGGGCTCGGTAAGTGTTCTAGGTTCCGCTCCTAAGGTATTTCCTGCCCGATACTTAAACAAATTTTGCTGTTGTTGCAGGCGGCCATACGCGTCCCGGAGCTGGCAAACCGCTTGGATTGGTATGAGGCCGACAGGATCAAGGGCGAAGAAAAGACCCTAAGGTTGCAGGAGTGTGTAGCCAACCTCGAGGGGAAGGCGAACTACTCTCTGGGCTTGTTCCGGGCTCAGGAGCTCTTGCTGGAGCGATTCAAAGAGGGTAAGGATCTCCCTGAGCCGTGCGAGGATCCTGAGGCGTTCGACTCCTCCTTCTATTACTCCGACAGCGAGGATGCTGCCGAAGACTGAGCGTGTCTGCGCCCCTCCCCGACCTTGTTTCCTTTTCCTCTTTTTTATCAATGTAATGTCTTCGTGTTTCAATGATGTATTTTGTATTATGAAACTATCACCCTAATTCTTCATGGTTTGCAATGCCTTAGTCATTTTGTTTTGATTCTTAACTGCTTATCCTCGAGCGAATCTTGATGACCAATGGTCCGTTTCGCTAGAACGCTCGGGCTCGCCTCGGCAACCCTACGTTCGGGCTCACCCTGGAAAGGCTGTGCTCGGGCTTACCCCGGCAATGCTATGCTCGGGTTCGCCTCGGCAAGGTCGTGTTCGGGCTCGTCTTGGCAATGTTGCGCTCGGCCCAGCCACCTTGGTCCATGTGCCTTTACCCGTCGGTCCAATCAGCTCAACCTTGGGACATGGTGCCCTTTGCTGACTCATGCGCTTCCCTTGACCGGCCCATTACTCAAGGCGACCTCGGGACATGGTGCCTTTTACTGACCGCCGTACTCAGCGAGTCTTGCTTTGCCACGTGTCCTACTCCCCCTTCACCCATGACCAATATAAGGGGGGGGGGACTCTCACAATGGTTCTTGCACAAGGCACATTTCGTAACTTCCTCTTATCCTTGCCATGTCTCACTCTGCTCCAACTCCTCCCGACTCAAGCGAGATGTGAGGGGAAACACTCTCCCTTAGCAGTTACTCGTATGGGGGCTCCTCCGCCATTCCTATGAAGTCCGGGCCAAGCTCGACTCCTCCGCCTACCAAGCGGGACTCGTCGGACTCTGATTCTGAGTCCGAGTCGGTGCACCCTGACCCTTTACGAAAATTTCGGGGTTCATCTATTACTCCTCTGAGGAGGATGTCAAGACTCCTCCCCGGCCCGCTCGCCGTGAGGAGGTCGTTGCTCCCCCGGTTGCTCCGGATAGTCGAGACCGAAGGCGTCGTCCTCCCACTCCTCCGGCGGACGGCCCGGGCGAGAGCTTAGTGGCGTCACACCATCTGAGTCGCCAATCCAACGAAGACCCGGGCTCGCCTAGTATTGGCGAATCCACTGTTCGTTCCTTCGTTGGGAAAGCCCCTTCACCACCGTCTTATCCCCCGCCGTGCCCATGCAGCCGGGGTTGGAATTGCGGGATGCATTGAAGTTTATTTCCGTATTTTAATTGTTGTAAGGCGTTTGCGCCATGTACTCGCCCCTTTTTCAAGGAAGAATAAAATTTGACTTTGGTTTTGTTCTCGCGTTTAGTCATTATATTCGAATGTCTGACCTTCATCTTGGAAAGACATCCGGGTACGGTCTGCGCTCGGCCTCCCTCCTGTGGAGGAGCACCGAGCACGAGTGTTTCGCCTTCGTCCGGGAAAAGCATCTGGGTATGGTCCGCGCTCGACCTTCTTCCCGTGGAGGATTGCCGAGCACGAGTGTTTGACCTGCGTCCAAGAAAAGCATCCGGGCATGGTTTGCGCTCGGCCTTCCTCATGTGGAGGAGCGCGGAGCACGAGTGTGACCTTCACCCGGGAAAAACATCCGGGTATGGTCTGCGCTCGGCCTCCCTCTTGAGAGAGGAGCACCGAGCGCGAATGTTTGACCTTCATCCAGGAAAAGCATTCGAGTATGGTTTGCGCTCGGCCTTCATCCTTTGGAGGAGCGCCGAGCGCGAATGTTTGACCCTCGTCCGGGAAAGACATCCGGGTACGGTCGAAGCGGGCTCTGTTCGCAAAAAATTTCATTCCATTGAGTTCGATCAAAGGATTTACGCGTTCCCTCTTGGGGCCCGTGTACAATAAAGCTCTACTAATAAAACTTAACCAAATTCTCGGCATTCCATATCCTAGGCACGTCCCCTCCGCTCGGCGTCTGCAGACAGAACGTCGAAGGGCCCACTGCCTCGTTGATTATGTAAGGGCCTTCATAGTTTTTGGCAAACTTTCCACCTTCCAGGGGGCGGCTTACCGTTCTCTTGCGCAACACCCAGGCTCCTTCAATGAATCCGCGCGCGCGCGCGCACGCGCCTGTCATGGTAGCTTTTCACTTTCCTCCGATAATTTTCTGCGCGTATGAAGGCCGCTTCCTGCCATTTTTTGCACGAGGTGCAGCTCGGCTGCCAGGGCTTCTTCATTGCGCTCGGGGTTGAAGATCTCCTTTCGGTGGGTTGCGATGGAGATTTCTGCGGGTGCCCTCGCCTCGAATCCGTAGAATAGGGCGAAGGGAGTCTCCCCAGTTTCCCTTCGGGGCGTGGTCCAGTAGGTCCATAGGATATAAGGCAACTCCTCCGCCCACTCCCCTCCGTAGGCTTCCAACTTCCGCTTCAGCCCATCGACTATCGTTTGGTTTGCGTTTTCGACCTGCCCGTTCGTCTGTGGGTACCCGACCGACACATAGCTGTGCTTGATCCCCCAACTTTCCAGAAAGTTGTTGAAGGGTCTGGACTCGAATTGCGTTTCGTTGTCGGTGATTTTGTGCTCGGGGACGCCGAAGCGGCAGACGACTTGCTTCGCAAGGAACTTCTGGCACTGAGCTCCGGTTATACTTGCCAATGGGGCTGCCTCCACCAACTTAGTGAAACAGTCGATGGCTAGAATGACGTACCTCACGTTCCTGGTACCTCTAGGAAGTGCGCCTGCGAGGTCCACCCCCCCACCGCGCGAACGGGATAGCTGTGCTGATGGGGGAATAGGATTGCACTTTTTCACGAACTCCGCGCAATCCTTCACAATTGTTGGCCAAAAATATCCTTGGAGGGTTATCTTCCTCGACACCGTGTATGCCCCTTGGTGGGCGAAGCAAATCCCTGCATGCACCTCTTTCATGACTTGTTCCGCTTCGGCTAGCTGGAGGCACCTGAGCAGTGTCCCGTTGTAAGCTCGCTTGTATAGCTTTCCGCCTTCCAATGTGTACCCCGGTGCCCTTGTCCGGACCAACTTGGCCTTCATTGCATCATCTGGGAGGGCGCCATCCTTCAGGAAGGTGACTATATCGTCCGTCCAATCTCTTGGCCGAGCACAGATCATCGCCACGGGGAAAGCGTGGATGCTTGGCTGGGACAACTCTTCCACGTTCGCCAATTGCCTGTTATGCTCCAGTGTTTCCGAGCTCAGCTTTGACAAGATATCCGCCTCGGCGTTCTCCGCTCGAGGGATCTGCTTCACACTGTACGCGGTGAAGCTCTTAAGTAATTCTAGAGCGGTATCTCTGTACTTCTTCATTCTTTCGTCCTTCGTCTCGAACTCTCCCGAGACGTGGCCAACTACCAGCTTCGAATCACACTTTACTCTTAGCTTCGTCGCGCTCATCCTGGCTGCTAAGCGTAGCCCGCATAGGAGCGCCTTATATTCCGCCTCATTATTTGATTCCTTGAAGCCGAATCGAATTGAGTAATATGCTCTAAAGCGTTCGGGAGCGATAACTACCACTCCCCCCCCCCCCGAGTTTTTGGCGGCGAAGGAGCCGTCGGTAAAAACTATCCACCAGTCATCGGCTTCGGGCTCTTCTAGGCTCGGCTCCTCTCGAGCGGTGCATTCCACCACGAAGTCAGCTAGCGCTTGGCCCTTGATCGTCGGTCTCGGCTTGAACTCGATCTGGAAGGCTCCAAGGAACACTGCCCACTTGGACATGCGAGAGGGCGCGTTCGGGCTCCTGAGTAACGCACCTATGGGCTGCTGGGAAAGCACTTGAACTGAGTGAGCTTGAAAGTAGGGCGTTAGCTGCTGCACGGTTGAAACCACAACCAGGACCGTCTTTTCGGCCATTGAGTACTTGAGCTCGGCGCCCCTCAGCGTCTTTGCCGTGTAGTAAACCGGGTGTTGAGCTTCGCCTTCTTCTCGGACGAGGACCGAACTCAGTGCCTTAGGCGACACCCCCAAGTACAGATATAAAGTCTCCCGGCTTCGGGCTTTGCGAGGACCGGGGGAGAAAGGAGATAGGACTTGAGAGATTCAAAGGATTGTTGACATTCTTCCGTCCATACGAACCCTCGAGCCTTCTTCACGGCCTGGAAGAATGGAGCGGCTCGGTCTGCAACCTTGGAGAGGAAACGGCTGAGCGCAGCCAACTTCCCGGTCAAGCGCTGCACCTCCTTGACATTTCGTGGAGCTTCCATGTCAAGGATGGCGCGCACCTTCTTGGGGTTGGGCTCAATGCCGCGCCGGCTCACCATGTGTCCCAAGAACGTACCGCCTTGAACCCCGAACGTGCACTTCTTCGAATTCAGCCGAAGGTTGTACTTTTCCATGATCTTGAAAACTCCTTCCAAGTCTTCCGCATGGGTGGTCGCCTGCTTGCTCTTCACGATCATGTCGTCGACGTACGCTTCCATGCTCTTTCCAAGGACGGGCGCGAAGAGCTTGCTTACCATCCTAGCGTAAGTTGCTCCGGCGTTCTTTAGTCCAAAAGGCATCACCTTGTAACAATATACCCCGCCAGGGGTAGTGAAAGATGTCTTCTCTTCATCCTCGGGGTGCATTCTGATTTGGTGGTACCCGCTGAAGGCGTCCATGAAACTCATGAGCTCGCAACCCGCCGTCTCGTCCACGAGCTGATCGATGTTCGTGAGTGGGAATGGGTCCATGGGACGTGCCTTGTTCAGTTCGGTATAATCCACGCATATCCTCCAAGTGTTTCCTTTCGGCGCTAACACCACGTTGGCCATCCACCCCGGGTACTTGACTTCTCTGATATGCCCTATGCTCTGGAGGTAGCCACTTCTTTGGCGACAAACTCCCTCCGCTCGGACGAAAGGAACCGCTTCTTCTGCTTCACCGGCCTAGACTCCGGGTTGACTGCCAATCGGTGGCATATGATCTTGGGATCCACCCCCGGCATATCCCCGGGTCCCCATGCAAAGATCACGCGGTAGGCGGTGAGCACGTCCACCAAGTGCTTCCGCCGGTTTCCAGTCAGGTTCGCCCCGATCTTCACCTTCCGCTTGGGTGCCCGAGGGTCGAGCGACACCTCCTCGACTTCCTCGGCGGGCTTGGCCTTCGGCCGTGCTTCCAGCTTCGGCATTTCCTCTTGCGCGTGCACGACCAACGTCTCATCCCTTGGCAACTTATTTGTGATTCGGACGTAGCACGATCGAGCTAGTTTCTGATCTCCCCTCGCCACCCCGATTCCCGAAGGAGTGGGAAACTTCATGCATAAGTAGTATGAAGAGATCACACATTTCAAGTCCTCAAGGCCAGGCCGTCCTAAGATCATGTTGTGCGCGCAGTTGATGCTTACAACCATGAATTCCATCTTCAACTTGGCCTTGTGCGCACCATCCCCTACTATCACGGGCACAGTGATGACTCCTTCGGCCTCGATGGAGTCTCCCGTGAACCCGGAGAGGGGAGTGCGCACGGGCCTTAGGGCTTCCTCCAAGTTCTCCCTTTCGGCGCCCCCCCAAAATGGGGCTGCTCCGTCGTCTTGCGGAGCCGGCCCTCGGGCGATAAGTCGCTGCATCTCCTTCTGAAAAGTGAAGCATTCCTTAGTGTTATGAGTGTTGTTGCGATGATACTCGCAGTACTTGCTACCGTATGACACTGCGTAAGCCTCCATGTGATGGAGCGGGGAGAGGGCCAGCTCTCGACCCGTCCCCACGGGCGCACCCACGGAGTACACACTAGCCGAGGGCGTCCTAGGGCCCGCTGTGTAGTCCTTTTTCTTCTTCCTCTTCTTCGCGATCTCTCCCGAGCCTGCGGGAGCTCGCTTGGCCGGCGCGACCTCAGAGTCGGGGGCATCGTCGAACTCCTCCGAGGCCAAGAACTTAGCGCGCGCCAAGGTTTCTTGGTACGTGGGGGGAGGATTCTTGCGGAGCTCCTCCCTCACCTCTCTGCGGGGAAGGGTTGCTTGGAACATTGCCACCAAAGCTTGGTCATTCACACCGTGCACGTCTCTAGCTTCCTTCTCCCACCGAACAATAAAGTCTCGGACCTTCTCTCCTTTGCGGATGCAGATGTTGAGAAGGTGGGAGTAGGGTAGCCTTTGTCTCCTGTTGGCCGCAAAGTGCGTCAGGAACTTCTCCGCAAATGTATCCCAATCGTCAATGGTTTCCTTCGGGATCCGGTTGAACCAATCGCACGCGGAGCCCTCCAGCGTCGCGAGTAAACATCAGCACTTAACCTCTTCTGGGGCTGCCGCCGCCTCCATCAAAGCGTAGAACTTAGACAGATGATCTTGGGGGTCCGTCGTTCCGCTGTAGGCCTTGATCTGCCACGGCTGGAAGTTCGCGGGCAGCCGAATCGACATAACCCTTGGAGTAAACGGGGTCACCGTTCGCAAGAGGGGCTGGCTGTAGGGAGCCCTGGTCTCCACCCGGCGCTTGAGATCGGCAATTTCGTGCGCGAGCCGAGATACCCCCTGGTCGAAGACCTTTGTCTTCTCAGTTCTTGTCGGACTCTCGCGACGCTGGGTCCGCTCGTCCCGCTAATCTCCGCCCCGCTCGGGCCTCGCCGAACGGGGGTCCGATGTCGCAGACTCTTTAGCATGCCTCCACCTGCCTTCGGATATTTGTCGATGGAGGTCACCCAGGCGGCTTTCCGGTCCACGCTTGAGCCTGTCGAATGCCGACACTCGAGTCTCCTCACCCCCAGGCGTTTAAGGGCGGATACTCGACACTCGCTGGACTCATCGTCTTCTCCTTCGGGGACGTCTTCCACCAGCATCTCCTCGATCACCGGAGCCTTTCCGGGCCTCCTCTTGCTCCTCCGGGTCTTCTTTCCCTTGTGCTGGGAAGTGGCAGCGTGTTCGGTATGGGGACCGAGCGGAGCTTTGCCAGCTCCGGCGCCGGGCACGTTCCCACCCATGGCGGAAAGTGCCGCAACGGCTGCCTAGAGCTGCTCCGTGGTCACCCCCAAGCCGAACAACGCTTAGACCGCGTCCGGAGTCGAAGTGATACCTCCCGTGCCGTTGCCGCTGCCCGGCGCGTTCTCCTCGCCACCGACGTGGCTGGTGGTGGGGACGTTGCTCCTTGTCTGCACCATTCTCGCTTCTGGGAGTTAACCTACAAGTATGTTCCTCTTCTCTGAATGAGAGCACCAATTTGATGGCTATAAACCACCGAATATATTAAATAATATGAGTTTTAGAGAGAGAGAATGCAAAGTAAGAGTTTATTCACTTCAAATTCGGATCCATTACAATGAGGGGTATCACCCCTTTTATAGGGGATACAATACACTAAGTCAAAGCCCTCTGATCGAGGTTCATCGGCTAGCAGACGTCACCTGTCCCTTAGTCTTGTCCCTTTCATCCTATCACTATCACTAAGTCCCTTTCGCAGGTCGCTATCTTCACGTCGTTGTCATGGGGTTCGGGCTCGGCTCGGCTGGCCGAGCCGAGCCGGGAGGGCCAAGCGGAGCTCGGGTGCCGAGTTCAGACGTCCCAACCCAGCGATTTCCCTTCGGCGAAGTACATGCTGACGTCAGCCCTAGGCTGACGTGGGGTTATCCCCCATCAATAATTATTTTATACCCTGCATAAAATTACTCCCTCTGTTTAAAAAATGTCATAGTTTATTGATCAAAAATCTTAGAAAGCTTTGTTTATTAATTCTTTTTTATTGATTATTTGATAAATTAATTATTCTTGTCACCTCTTGTCCAATAGAATTTTTGACGTAGTTTATAAAGATGTACTAAATTTTATTTTTTATGCAAATTTTTAAATAAAATAAATTTTAAAAAATCATTTTATTTTGCGTATTGTGACTAATTATTTTGGGAGGGTGGGAGTATATAGATTAGATGCCTTTCCGTGGGTTTATAAAGTTAATTTATCACAAAAACAACTCAAACATTAAAGAGTCAGGTACATTATTCGGTGTAGATGGTATACCAGATTAGTACACCAATCCTCACCATTTGATCTTTATTCATTTTCAAATTTTGTACTCTGGATTGTGTGGTGGAGATTTACTGGTGTACACTCTTAAACTAATAGATACATGTTGGGGACTTGTCGTGTGGTCCAAAACAAATTAAAAATTTATAAAATATCCTTAACTAACCCCCAAAATATAATCAAATAAAAACTATAGCTAGGGCAAGTAAGGGTCGATCCCACGGAGAAAGTTTGTACTTTTTAAAACCAATTTAGCATGCAAACACATTGTCACTAAAAAAAATAAAATTAACTACTACACACATAAAAAAACTTATAACTAAATAAATATAAAAACTTATAACTATAACTTATATAAACAAATAACTTATAATATAACTTATAAACATAAAACATATACTTAAGATATACTAAAAAAGTATAAAAACTTATATGTATAACTTAAAACACAAAAGGGGGGAGGTTGGATGAAAAGTAAATTTTTTTTTTTAGTTTTTTTATATTTTCTTATTTTTTGGTTTTTTTTGATAGAATGGGGGAAACAAGCTCATAAGATAATCACCTTCTCCAATTTAGGTAACCCAAGATACACCGCCAAAACCCGAAACAAAATTAAAAAGAGAATGAACACAAAATGAACATTACACGTATAATAGGCACTTAGACAATATATTACGTAACTTACGCACTTAAGAATAGAAAATAATTCAAAGGCTCGAGTTGATTCATATCCTTGACCACATATAGAGGATCGTCAACTCTCTATAAGGCCTGGAGTCAAAGATTCAAAAGCCTTTTGGTTACTTTGAACCCCCACTCACCTCAAGCGTTCAAATAATTATTCCAAAAGATGAAAAAGTTTATAAAAGAGCGAATCTTTCTTTCATTCTAACTCCCATGCACAAAGTATTAATGAAGAACATTTGATACACTTTAATAAACTTTAACGTCTAATGATGAAAATATTTTGCAGGTCTCCTTGAACTACTCAAGCATAAGAATTGTAATCTATTCACATAAGAAAAACATTACATATTTTCATTAAATCAAGAGTTGTTTATTGCGCTTAAACAATCCCAATTTTTATGAAAATAACAAACAA